CCTCAGCGGGGCCTGCGCCGGAGGTTGGGCTGGGGGCGGGCGCCGCCGGGGTCCTGGGGCGGTGGGGTGGGGGGTCACGCGCCCCCACGGGGGTGGCTCCCGGGAAAGTTCCCCGCACGGGTCCGCGCCCCTGTGCACCTTGAGGAGCCCGGGCCCCCCGCTCCGCGGCGTCGGGAGGGAGCGTTGGGTCGGAGGTGGCGGCGTGGTCGGATCGCCCCCGCCCCTCTCCTGTTGCCTCTTTCCCCCACGGGCACCGGCGGACAGACGGACGGACGCACGCGCCGGTGACCCGTGGGGACCTCATTGCGAACCCCGGCCGCGCCCGAAGCCTCTTGTGGGGCCCCGGCGAAGTGACTCTAGCGGCGGGGTCTCCCGTGCTGCTGGGGGGCGGGTGGCCGGGCGCTGCGTCCCCTCCCCGGTCCGCGCCGGTCCCTTCTCGCGGCTGCTGGCAGCGCCTTCGCCACTCCGCGGAGCCGGACCTCTTCTCATTTGAATAATGTCTAATTCGGGGAGGTTTATATTATTGAAATGGCCGCCTGGCTTTCCCCGCCTCTCATGTTTAGTAATTCAGACCTTTAATAACAGCCACTCACAGCCCAACGCCGTGTTTATATTTTACATTCGCCCCATGTGCTTTTGTGGTTCGATATGATTTTTTTTTTTTTTTCCTTTCTTTCTTTCTTGGCAATCCACAAGGCTCTGAGATCAAACCCAGCCTGTGCTGGGAGATAGGGGAGCTAGGCCTGTGCTGCTCCTGGAGTTGCCTAGGCCTCGTGTTCTCTGTTGCTTGATTTATTTACTAATAATCCAAATGACTCCCCAACCAACTGCCACATGCTTCCCCTCCTCCGCGGGCAAAACACATCCTCCTGGGGCCTTTCCAGCACAAAATGTCTCCCAGCTAAGCATCAACTCTGCGGTGGCTTATTTTCTCTTAAAGACTTTCTTAGCAGTTTGTAGTAATGTAGGGTTTTAGGAAAATTTTTTTATTATTTTCAGAGTTTGTGAATTCTGTTTTGCTTTGCTACAAACACATCACTTTGTTATGGGACCTCTTTCCTCGCCCCCAAGTTAAGTGCTTTTCAGGCTTTTTGTAAAGATCTGAAGTATTTGTAAAACCAATGCAACTGCCCTTTCCCTGCCATCGCAGTTGTAGTTGGGTATTTTAGAAACTCTGATTAACGGCACTTTTCATAATGTCTCAGTGCGCTCCTTTTCCAGCGTCTGCATTCTAGTTTTAAATTAGGACGATACTTTATGCTTACACTGTCACAGATTTGCTTATTTTAATTGTAGTACTGCTGACCACAGAAATGGATTATGTATTCTTTTGAGTGTTTGTGTCATGGTTAAATGAGTGAAAATAGAGTAAACACATGCATTGTGTCTGCCCTGATCTTGGAAGTCTTCTCCCATTAACACCCACCATTCTGCTTTGAGTTGTCAGAATTTATTTTGTGTCTCATCTAAACTTAGGGTAGTTGGTCTGTTGAAAGGGAGCTTAACTTTTAGTCTTTAGAGAAAATAATTTTGATTTTTTTTAATCTTTTCCTGGGAAATATTTCTTTAATACTTTCACTCTTTATAGTGGTAATTTTTTCCCCCTAGTTGTGTTGCCTTTTGAGGAGAGTATTCGAGAAATGATGTTTAACACTTCACTAATGTGCTAAACCTCTGAAATCATTTAAGGAACTTTATGGATGATGGCTAGATACTTATTTTGTGGAATACATATTTTGTCTTCAGTTTAATTTGAAGCAGATTTCTAGATTTCATGGATGAGAAGGAGTCTAATTTAGAATACCACTTCTCACCATTTTTTCCTCTTTGCACATACAGTAGGTAGACCCTGAAAGCAAAGTGGCAGGAAAAATTGTGTAGCATTCACGAGACTGCTCAGGTGAATGAGTGCTTCAGAGACTTGAAGTATGAGGTTGGTAGACAAGAAAGCAGTAATGCGAGTTGATGCCTTAAATAGCATATGTTTTTGCAAGATGTGGTCAAACTGATGATGTCATTGGACGGAGGACAAGGTGCAGTTAATTTGATGTATTGTCCTGAGGTGAAGCATAGCAATGAAGCCTTCTCATAGGGAAACCATATATCTTGGGACAATTTCCTTTGTAGCTGCAATTTAACCACTACTGAGGCTTGTAGCTATTTTACCCAAGGTGATAAGATTCACATTATTTTAAAAACCAAATTTCCAGTAACAAACTTAATTTCTCTATTAAAGTTTTTCTAATACCAGGAAAGGATGGGCATTGTTTTTTTTTCTAGACTGCACAGGATGCCTTCAGGGCAGATCTAGTCCAGAGCCTGGGATGGGCATTGTTAACTGGCTTTATAGTTTGATTGGCTTTTCATGCTATAGTAAAAATATATTTCCTCATATTTTCAAAGGGAAAAGAGTATGGATCTTAAACAAGGAAAATTATAGAAGGGACCCACCCTGGGCATATTTTAGATAGATTTGTAGTGATTCCCCCCCCCCAAACTCTTACAAGAGTTTCTTAATTTACTCAACAATGGGGAAACCATTTGCCCTAGATCCTGTTTCATAAAAGGTGAAATACTTAGATGAAGGTGTATACTTTGAAAACAGTTTTTAAAGACATTAATTCAGAATTTGGGGGTGACTGCCTTAAATTAGTGTGAACAAATTGATGCATTTTGTTTGGATTAGTGATTTTTAAAATTGTTCTATTGCAAGGTAGTGATCCCACTTACAATTTTTGACATATTAGGTTTTCTTCTTGGTCAGTTCTCATCATATTTTATCCAGGGTATGTAATGGCGTTGCTGTGCCTTATTCGTAACACTAGTTTGTGAACCAAGTTTGGTAGAGTATTTTAGGTTACTTTTGAGCCTTCCATAAGCTTATCTTTTTGCATCTATTAGGTGGCTTCCGCCAAGTTTCTGGAAAAATCTGTCCGCACTTCTTTCCTAACTTTCCTCCCCTATAATAATGGTGCTTTTGAGTTGAGGTTTTAAACATTCATATGACAGCTGACCAAATGTTTGTGATTCCAAAGGACTGTTCTGTTTACATGCTATTGCTGTAAAAATAATTTTTGACTTCTTCCCCCAAATTAGCTTCTGTTTCATTTTATCATTGTCAGAGATGCCAGTAGGCAAAGAAAAAACAAACCCTGCTATTACTTGGGTTTAAATGGTGTGTTGTTCTGCCACATCTTAAATTTAGTATTCTTTGTATCAATAGGTATTGTAAAGCAGAAATAAAATGTCTCGTTGCTACTTAGTTGATATAGTTATTAATCTGTCCTTCATGTGGTCCATAGATTTTGGAATAACTTTAGGGCTCAGAAGGCCAAATTGTTCTGATGAAGCTGCCAGAGATGTTTAATGGAACCCTGAATACCTTAGGCAGGTGGTTCTAAAAGGACAAAATGGAAAATTTGAATGTTTTCTTTCATAAGCGTTCTCTGTAAGATTATTGTGAATCTGAAAGTTATGTGTTTTTTACATTGGTCATTCACTTTCGTGCATATGCTTCTTTTGTGCTATATAATATGTAGTACAGTATGAAATGTATATTATGTAACATTCCTTTGTACTGTAAGACAGTAAATAATATGTCATGATTGCTTATGGTTACTGCTTTTGTTTTTGGTTTTATTTTAAGCACTACTAAAAATAATCATGTGTAATTGCCATTAATTTGCTTTTATATATCAATATTACACAGTTTTGGCAAATAATAATCATGTGGGTTTTTTTCTAATGGAAGTAATTGCGTTTAGAACTATTTGTTAGAGAACAGAATGGGTCATAGACAAAGCATGTTCCTTTTTGTTCACCCATCCTCTTATTTCTCATGTCTTCTTACATACTAAATGCCTGAGCATTTTTTCAAGGAGATATAATTATTAGGGAATAAAATTAAAAATTGTGTATTTGTTTCAACAATACATATACATTGTTGGAGTTTCTTTGTCCTTCCTGAATTCTTTCCTTTTCTCTCTCTCTCTCTCTCTCTCTCTCTCGCTCTCTCGCTCTCTCGCTCTCTCGCTCTCTCGCTCTCTCGCTCTCTCGCTCTCTCGCTTTTGCTCTCTCTCTCCCCTTCCCCCCTTTTACCCTTTTCATTTTTAAGCAAACTCTTAGGGTTAGAATTTGGCTTACTTTTTGTCTTTATTATATATTGCACAGGTAATACAAATAACCTTTTGTATGGTCAAAAGAAACAGCTACTAAGATTCACAGAGAATACAGTTTCCTTATTAATCCTTTCATGAATGTTTTTGCACATTATTGACATAATCTTTATTCTATGGGTAAAATTAATTGAGATTTTTAATCAGTTTCTTCATACTGAAGTATTTCTGTGTTCTAAAATAATAATGTGCTCTTATGTACTTTTTGAGTAGTAGCTGTGGGAACAAAAATAGCATGAGTGTAGCCATTGCCTGATTTACTGATCCATTTTATGGTATGTTTAGAATTGGAATAGGAAAATGGTTTTGAGTTTCAGGACCTCTGATTTGAAGTTCTTTATATG